AATACTCACGAACTCCGGCTCTGCAACATTCGGAAGGGAATGATTCAGATTCCTTTTGGCACAGCTACTAGAAGACGTACAAGTTGCTCACGTCACATCTACGTCGTCAAGCTCAGTTTGAGCCTGCGCAGTACGCTTGGCAATCAGGAAGTGAGTGCTTCTAATTGACTTCACTTTTCTCCATTGAAGTCTATGGGGTCGCTGTGTCCATTTCTTTTACTGTCTATGCTGCTCACTCGCTCTGTTTGGTTTCATTACAGTGTGCTCCTTAGCACTGGACTGACTGGAGCTCCCTCTGCTGTCCATAAGGTGCATCTGCACCAGCCATTTCAAACCCAGCCTCCAGTATTTGGGCCACGCCTCCTTATTTGCATACACTCCTCAATCCTCAATCCTCAAATGCCCAATCCTAAATGGCTAAATGATTAAATGCCCAATCCTAAATCCCTAAATGCCCAATCCTAAATCCTAAATGGCTAAATGACCAAATGCCCAATCCTAAATACGAAATGCCCTATCCTAAATACCAAATGCCCAATCCTAAATACCAAATGCCCAATCCTAAATACCAAATGCCCAATCCTAAATACCAAATTCATTTTTGACTTAAACTTTTAGTTTTCAACTTAGACTTTTAGTTTCAAACTTAGACTTTTGGTTTTCGTTTAAGACTTTTAGTTTTAGACTTTTAGTTTTCAATCTGACCCAATAATCCCTCCATAGATCGCGGCCATTCTAGTCAATGCGTGTGTTTACACCGGCCGCGAAGCGGCGCGTTTCAGAAGCTTCCCAGAAGCTGCTCTCCGCGCCGCTTCGCTAAATATAGGCGCCTAGTCTATTTTTGACGGACGCCGCGTCCAAGCCGCACCGTAAATACAAAATAAAAGTCAAAAAACACTGTCAATTTTATAATAAACACCCTGTGCAGAATCCCAATAGGCTTTATGCACAGCTTCACTACTTCCTGAACTTCAGCCAGCCCTTTGTTTCCTGTCTGTCATTATTGGACAAACTGATTAATCCAGGTGTGCCTGATTATTGTTACTGAGGCCAGGCACACCTGGATTAATCAGTTTGTCCAATAATGACAGACAGGAAACAAAGGGCTGGCTGAAGTTCAGGAAGTAGTGAAGCTGTGGCATAAAGCCTATTTTGTATTGCACACCAATATATCCTTGGTAAAATCCATAGACTAGGTAGACACACAAAAATCAAGAAAAACCACGCCGGACAGGCAAATCACGTGGTCTCGCGCATCCAGTCGCTTCGCGTCTGAAATGCTCCTGGTGTGAGTTGGCACTGTGTGAAGGACGGAATAAAACCGTGTCGCAGCCGTAATGCGCCGCAGACGTGTGCAGCCTTGTTTAAGGCCAATTTATACTTCTGCGTCGGGTGCGCGCAGTAGGTACGGCGTAGCATACGCACAGACGCGTACCATACGCTGTACCCTTCGCCGTAACCTGACGCGCACCTCCTCAAAAATGTAACTACACGTCGCGACGACGCGGACCGCAAGATCTGTGATTGGTCGGCTTGGTAGCATCGCGTTTCCTCCTATGCATTTCCGGCGTGTTCTTCTGCACCGCCCGCCATTTTTAAATTCTAAGTACAGCGAAACTGTTAAAAAAAAACTAAATTTTCCTTTTCCACCTCGATAAGCTCCAACTCCAACATGATCTGCTCTCTTTCAGTCGCCATTGCTTGTAGTAACCTAAACTCAAAACAGCCGCGAGGAATCTTCTTCTTCTTGCCGCGAGGAATCTAAACACAGTGGAACATTAAAACCCTCCGCCGCCAACTAGCGTTTCGGCGCTGTACTGCAGAGCAACGCAGACCTAAACGCAGAAGTATAAATGCTCATGACGGCGTCGCCTACGTGCGTAGCCTACGCAGTACACCACGGCGTACACTCGACGCAGAAGTATAAATTGGCCTTTATACTCGACGCGTCCGCAAGAGCGCGAAGGTGCGCACGGCAAAATGACGTAATTGCGGTGTGGGCGGTCGTGCGCGTTGGGTGCGCAAGACCCCATTTCGCCTGGCGGTGTGCACGGCACTTTTTGTAACATCGCGCGCGGCGCCGCATCCGAAGATGAACGACTTCGAGTCGAATCAGGCCGAACTGGTACGTCTGTACCAGCATGTTTATGATCCTTCTATACACAGAGACATTTGCATTGATGGGCGACCATAAAAGCCTCTCATTTTGTGAAAAGGAACACATTTGCATTAAGCACCCAGTTTGCACTTGTCTAAAGTAACTGCTTACATTTATAAAATAAGCCTACAATAGCAGAAGTAAGCCCTGCTGATGAAATTAAGGTTTAAACACTCTTCAATAAGGCTTCTATTGTTTAACGAGTTTGCACAAGAAAGTACAATACACCAACTGCATGTATTACTCTTTTAATATGAATCAGCTATTAATAAACTACTAATAAACGGCAAACTACTTCTTCACTGCTGATTCCTGGTGGTTTAGAGGAGAATTACTCCGAGTCGCCCCCTGTCGTTTCACAGAATAGCACAACGGCGAGCGCGTCAAGTATAAACGCCTCGTCCGTTTGAAGAGGTGCGCGCGCAGTCAGCGGAGACTCGCTCTCGTGCGGACGCGTCGAATATAAACAAGGCTTAAATGAGGGGTTATTACTGTTCGCGCGCGCTCTCCGCCTCTCGCTATTTGCAAGAAATCCCTCTACAAATGTAGCCTATACGCAATGACGCAAATTTGCACGTATAACCAATCACACACACACATCCTTCTCCGGCTACAATATATTGTATTCATTTAAAGCAATGCTTATTATACAACCCAAAATATTAGCAACAAACATTGATTTAGATGAAAACATTCATAATAATAAATCAATCTGAAAACAATCTCTTTAAGGTAAACACATGCAAACCACAGAAATACATTTGAAAACTGATAGAGATAATAATTATGCAACTTATCAAAGGGAAAAAAAAACCTTAGGATTAAGAAGCTGTTAGAATTATTTAGCAAAGCACCTGAAAAAAAAAAAAAATGTCATTAACGTCAGTATAGGCTACTAGAGTTAAATGAGCAATCATAAATTAAACATACTTAATCACTCTTTGTATTTGTATTGCATATTCAGTTTTATTCTAACGAAACAGGATAGATTTCCCGCCACTCACAAATACTTGATTTCAGTGAGCGCCTTGCTCTATTGTGATGTCATAGAACGTTCGCTGAGACAGTAGAGTGCAAAGTTATCTTGCAACTTGTAGCGAGTCGGCGAGTGATGGTGAGTAGGCTGCTTTTTATTCAGGGTTTGGATATTTGAATTTTATTTCATAATTGCATTACTCAGATCAGACTCTACTTAAACAATAGAATGTTATTGACTCGATGCAGATAAATGAATAGGCATGACGATATACAGTGGTAGGCCTAATTTGTGTGCACAATTTAATATGTAAATTGGGTTTGATGTTTTTAATATAACGTTAGCTATTTGTTGATTTGCTCCCATACACATATGATAACCTCCTATATTCTTGATAATTAATGACACATTATTACATAATCAACACAACACATTAAATCAACAAATGACCATTTAAACATTTATGCACATGGAGAGCTCCATAGACGTTATCTTATCTTTGCGAGGAACTCCGCAGCTTTTCAATCTCTCTTGCTTTGAGATCCTTTACATTGACCAACTTGCAGATCTTATGACACATCATATAATGAAAGCAGATTGGCCTTAATGGTTATCTCTGTATCTCTGACTGTAACTGATATGCAAAAGGAGGTAATTTTCATTTAGACTCCTTATGCCTTTAATGGCCATTTTGGACAGACAAATGTCCATTTGAATATTTATTCTCATTGGTTTGTTAAATGCTGTCATCCTCTTCTATTCGTGCAGTAAATAAAATGTGCATTGACTACCAGGCATGATAGACATTTTATATAGGCCTACTAGTCCAAAGTGCCCGTGCAAAATCAGTTTTCGTGTGTGTTTTTGGTAATTGTTGGTTTGGTGTGTTTGAGTGCTCATTGTTACAATTAAACAGCAAACGTTCAGTGACATTTTTAATTGTGCATGGTAGAAAGGAAATACTGATACTGACATTATGACATACAACAATTATGGAAAATTGAACCATATATATACACTACCGTTCAAAAGTTTGGGGTCGGTACGATTTTAAATACTTTTAAAAGAATTCTCTTCTGCTAACCATGGCTGCGCTTATTTGATTAAAAATACAACAAAAATCAGTTATATATTATTCCAGTGTAAATCAGCTGTTTTCTGTGTGAATATATAGTAAAGTGTAATTTATTCCTGTGATCAAAGCTGAATTTTCAGCATCACCAGTGTCAGTGTCTTCAGTGTCAAATGATCCTTCACAAATCAGTATAATATGAGGATTTGATGCTCAAGAAACATTTATTATTATTATCAATGTTGAAACAGTTGTTGGTCTGTCAGTTGTTCAGTTTTTTTTGTTTTTTTAGGATTCTTTGATGAATAGGAAGTTCAAAAGAACAGCATTTGTTTGAAATAGAATCTTTTGTAACATTATAAATGTCTTTACTGTCCTTGATAAATAAAAGTATTGATTTCTTTCCTCCAAAAAATAAAAATAAAATTCTCACTGACCCCAAACTTTTGAACGGTAGTGTATATATCATTATATGTATCTTAGTTGACCACATTAGTAGTTAAATTGATAATTTATCAATTAATGAAGCTTAATTGTTAATTTTGAATAGATTTGAAGGAGGCTTTTGGACTGGACTCCCTTGCCTCTTCTGATTGACAGCCATGGGCATACACTGTAGAAAATGTATTTTTTCCAAGTAATTTGATAAGACAATCAGCTTCCAGGTTTGTATGTGTTTGCTCAACTCATCTCTTCCATTTCTCTGTCTTTCACAGTGTTTTACAGATAGAGATTGCAGAAAGTCAGTATTGTTCAGTTCTTTAGATATCATCATATCCAAAATCAATATGAGTATGGCAAGCTTTCCCATCGGTTTTACTGAGAGTGCAGAGCAGTCCTTAGGTCCTGAACTCTCAGATGAGCTCACCATGGCCCTTGCTGCAGGGGAGTGGTGGGCTATTATGGAGGTTTCAAGTCCCATCTCTGAGGAGCCAGAGTATTGCGACTTCACCTGGCCTCCACGCCCCATATCCCTGAAGTCGATGAAGCAGTGGAGCCAAAACAAGACACAGGGAGCTCCTGTGCCCACCAGGTCCCAACAGGAATCACCTGTGGCTGTTGGGTCCCCACAGAAAGCACCTGTGCCCACTGGGTCTCCACTAGGACCACCTGTGCCCAAGTCTCAAGATTGGCGAAATCTAAATTTCTCTGAGCCTCTTAAGCAGGAGCGGCTGTATCAGCAGAGAAAGTGGAGGCAGAAAAAGACACCGGAAGCACCAGTGGCTGTTGAGCCCCCACAGAAAGCACCTGTGCCCATAGGGTCTCCACTAGGACCACCTGTGCCCCAGTCTCAAGATTGGCGAAATCTAAATTTCTCTGAGCCTCTTAAGCAGGAGCGGCTACATCAGCAGAGAAAGTGGAGGCAGAAAAAGACACAGGAAGCACCAGTGGCTGTTGGTTCCCCACAGAAAGCACCTGTGCCCACTGGGTCTCCACTAGGACCACCTGTGCCCCAGTCTCAAGATTGGCGAAATCTAAATTTCTCTGAGCCTCTTAAGCAGGAGCGGCTGCATCAGCAGAGAAAGTGGAGGCAGAAAAAGACACAGGAAGCACCAGTGGCTGTTGAGCCCCCACAGAAAGCACCTGTGCCCACTGGGTCTCCACTAGGACCACCTGTGCCCCAGTCTCAAGATTGGCGAAATCTAAATTTCTCTGAGCCTCTTAAGCAGGAGCAGCTACATCAGCAGAGAAAGTGGAGGCAGAAAAAGACACAGGAAGCACCAGTGGCTGTTGGTTCCCCACAGAAAGCACCTGTGCCCACTGGGTCTCCACTAGGACCACCTGTGCCCCAGTCTCAAGATTGGCGAAATCTAAATTTCTCTGAGCCTCTTAAGCAGGAGCAGCTGCATCAGCAGAGAAAGTGGAGGCAGAAAAAGACACAGGAAGCACCAGTGGCTGTTGAGCCCCCACAGAAAGCACCTGTGCCCATAGGGTCTCCACTAGGACCACCTGTGCCCAAGTCTCAAGATTGGCGAAAGCTAAATTTCTCTGAGCCTCTTAAGCAGGAGCAGCTGCATCAGCAGAGAAAGTGGAGGCAGAAAAAGACACAGGAAGCACCAGTGGCTGTTGGGTCCCCACAGAAAGCACCTGTGCCCTCTGGGTCTCCACAGGGAGCACCTGTGCTCAAGTCTCTACAGATACCATCTGTGCCTGCCCCAAAGCCTCTGAGAGGGAAGCTGCTGCAGAGGAGGCCTCAAGCGTCTTCTCAAGCGAATCCACAGGAAGCGGTAGTGCCCTCTGGGGCTCCGAAGGGAGAAGATATGGCCCCAAGGATCCCAAAAGGTATACTTGTGCATTCGGGGACCACACAGGGATCACTTGTACCTTCAGATTCCCCCAAACTGGGAGAAAGCCTCAAGATCCCTAAAAAGCAGAGGCAGAAGCAGAGGGAGCAGAATATCCCAAAGGGAGCTTCTGTAAGTCCCTTCCATCTCATTCCATCATCATTTTCAGATTTATTCAAAAACAAACAAAAAAACATTGACTTCAAATATGCTTCTATGTTTTCTAGGTCCTCTATTCAAATCTTTTTATATATTATTTTAAAACTTTAGAAAGATATGTTTAGATTTAGTCTAACAAGCACTCATTAAACTGCCCAACATGATTATATTTGTTTCTTCAACAGGGCAATGTAGGTGTGTGTCAGCCACCTCCAAAAAATAAAATCTGTGTGGATATTAACAAGAAGGTGTAGCTGAATACTAAACCGAGGAGCCCGGATCGGATAAAAACTTCACACCTGGATCAGAGCAGCATTCCTCCCAGGTCCCAGATGAACCGGAAGAGAGCATTGGTAAGTTCCCTCCTTTTTTCAGATTTAAAAATGTAAACACTTTAATAATTTAATACATGACTAGTATCATATTCTTTTCAGTTTATAGAACCCTCACATTGACATTGTAGAAATACACATGTATTATGATTTTCTCTAAGAATCACTCATTAAATCTGGTCAGTGTGACATGATATGTGTGTTCCTTCAACAGGACAATGCAGGTGTGGACCAGTCACCTCCACAAAAAATGCCCCGCTTGGCAATCAAAGTCAAAGACCAGGAGTTGGAACCAGGCAGCTTTAAGAAATTGTGCTATATTTATGCAGCATATTCATAAATGTTTGTAATGTTTTAAATGTTTAATATATATATATATTATTTTGGCACATTTTGCATAATAAAAAATAAAATATAAACTGTGTTTTTGTTTATATATCCAGGACAACACATGAATTAACATGTTACATAAAAATGTGCATTTTAAGTCAAAATAGACTATTTTCATCTCCTGTCTCTGAGCTGATTAAATGTTAAAAAGAAGCTGCACACTAAGCCAAAGGACAACATTATAACAACATATATGATATTTTCTACATTTAATGAGCCTTTGTGGACTACCAGTTTAAATGTAGGTAATCCAACTTGATAATAATAAATAAATAAAAATAGGCTACATTTAAATTTTATTTGCTCAGAAAGGTGGTTAAGGTAGGTTTGCCACCCGTTCCGTTTAATACGGAATCGCACTGTAAAAACAACAAAAAAAAAAAACATAAAGGGGTGGTTCAGGATTTTGGACATTGGGCCTCATTTCCAAGTTAGCCTGGGTGTTATTTATCAGTGGAGACAGTTTTAAAAAAATTTCATCCAGTCCTTCCGAGTCAACGGTATCTGCTAGCCTGCCATTAAAAACAGTTCTCTTACGAGAGGTTCTCTCGTATTGCGTAAGCTAGCTTACGCTACGGGAAAGATTAATCTTTTCTGAGAAATTGAAGCCAAAAAATGATCCTATAATTTTGTATCCATTGTCAACGCAGTTCAGCTGCAGCAGACCATGAGCGGGCTAGCTAGCAGCTCATTGGTTCGCTCACAGAGAACTGCTTAAGCCTATGAGGAGACGCAAATGAACTCTCGGCCAATGAGAGTCTGACATGCTCTCATTACGTCAGAGCCTGCCGAAACGGGCGTGGTCAGAGAGAATAACACTGGCGTCCTAGGCTGTAAACTCTGATTTTCATCTCTTCAGCGAGGCTACACGCATCTGCTGATCCTGAGAGAAGCCGCCGTCGTTGAAAAGGCAACTCTAGCGAGCATCTGGGAGACTGAGGAAGCCGGCCGTCTTCGCCACCTTCAGCCGTCCTGCGAGCTAGCGCCATCAGACGGGTTTTTTATCCTTTTTACAAAAAGCTTCCTATACTTATTTGTATCTAAAACAGCCGAGCGTCTTTTTAAAGATGTCTCGTAAATCCTCCTGCGGTTCTTTCCGCGCTCCCCTCGAGACTGGAGACCGCCACGTCATCTGCGCTCTCTGCCTCGTATTGGAGCACGCCGAGCTCGCCCTCGCTGATGGCGGCTGCGATCTCTGCGAGGACATGCCGTTGTCGACCCTGCTGGCTCGACTTCAGGCCACTAAAGTTGCTTCCGCGCCGCCTCTGACTTCGCCGCGGAAGATGAAACGCCGCTCTCAGAGGCCGCCGGAACCCCAGCTAGAAGCGCTCATCCCGCCGGAGCCTGTCACCTCCCGCTCTCCTTCTCCGCCGCTACCGGACATACAGTTGCCGCCGAGTGGCCGCTCTGTCGCCTCCGATGACGCCGCGGACATTAACTTAACGCCTGAATTTATATAGCTGTACACTGTAAAAAATTTCCTGTAGAATTTACAGGAATTTACTGGCAAAAAAGTTGCCAATAAAGTCCTGTAAAAATGTTGGTAATTGCTGTAAAATTGATTACAGTATAAGACTGTAAAGCAACTTACAGTAAATTGTTGTATATGAAATACAGTAATTTATAGTTTTTTTACAGTAACATTGAATTAAACTTGTATTTTATTTTACAGCAATATTTTGTAATTTCACTAAAGTACAGTATTTACCTGGCAATAAAGTTGCCAATAAAATCCTGTAAATATATTTTACAGCAATTTTTTGTAATTTCACTAAAGTACAGTATTAACCTGGCAATAAAGTTGCCAATAAAATCCTGGAAATACCCACAAAATTTAAGAAGATGCTGTAATAGTTTAACATTTAAAAAGCTGAAAAGAATCATTTTAACAGTAAACTGTACTTTATTATATTGATGTAAATGCATTAAAATAAACATTTAAAAAAACAAACACAAAGTCAAAGCTGTTGTTGAAAAATATTTATTAAAATATTAAGCAAATAACTGCAAGACTGGTAACAACAATTTTACTTTTTCAAGTACAGAAAATCTTTTCAAAATCAGTCACAAAATAACTACAAATAACTTGTAAGACTTAAAAGCAAGATTCTGGGTTCAATAAAAGTTAAAGGGACAGTTCATCCAAAAATGAAAATTCTGTCATCATTGTGTTTACTCACCCTCAATTTGTTCCAAACCTGTATGAGTTTCTTTCTTCTGTTGAACACAAAATATGATATTTCAAAGAATTTTGGTAACCAGACAATTGAAAGTAAATGGCTACCATCAACTGTTGATTACCAACATTCTTCAATATATCTAAAATATCTTCTGTGTTCAGCAGAAGAAAGAATCTCATACAGGTTTGGAACAACATGGGGGTGAGTAAATGATGACGGAATTTCCATTTTTGGGTGAACTATTCCTTTAAGCTCAACCAACAGAATGGCATTATGGTTAAAGGTTTAGTTCACCCCAAAATGAAAATTCTGTCAGTAATTACTCACCCTCATGTTGTTCCAACCCCGTAAGACTTTCCTTCATCTTTGGAACACAAATTAAGATATTTGTGATTAAATCTGAGAGCTGGATCACTCCTCCATAGGTTTCTAAGGGATCGTAACTTGCCGGCCCAGAAAAGTTATGAAAGACATCGTTAAAATAGTCCAAGTGACTACAGTGGCTCAATCTGAAGTTTATCAAGCGACGAGAATACTTTTTGTGCACAAAAAAAACAAACAAAAATAACGACTTTATTCAACAATTCATTTCCTTCTCTGTGGGCCTCGAGATTTCACGTAGTGTAACAGCGCAGCGCTTCTGTGTTGTACGTCACACGTAGGCTCACTATTGGCCAACGCTGATCATGTGTGTGAGGAGTGATCTAGCTCTAAGATTTAATCAAAAATATCTTAATTTGTGTTCCGAAGATGAACGAAAGTCTTAGAGGGTTGGAACAACATGAGGGAGAGTCATTACTGACAGAATATTCATTTTGGGGTGAACTAACCCTTTAACTCACATCTCCTGTTAAAACTCACATTTCTGCCTTTTTTTTAATTATTTTTGGTATAAATGTTTGTGATAAACAACAATGGTGATTGACAACATTCTCTCTAAAAACATTTAAACCATTTTAATTTAAAGTACTTTTTTTTTAAATATACATTTGACAACTTACATGCTTAACAACTCAAAGTCCATTAGCCTTCTGAGAAGAGTAGACACATGAGGATTGATATTGTTGTTCCTCTTCTCTGAGGTCTTTCCACTTTTTTTTGACTGTCTTGGTACCGGATGGGTTGATTCCAACAAAACATCTGCACAAAAATTAGTCAGAAAAACACAAGCAGAAGCTTTAGGATCACGTGCAGACTAATGAAAATATACCACTTTACATTAAGCATTCGCTGCAATACTAAAAAGGGTTAGTTCACCCCAAAACGACATTTCTGTAATTAATTACTTATTAATCTGTCATTAATTAACGACTGACCTACATTCATTTTCATGAACACACATTAAGATGTTTTTGATGAAATCAGAGAGGTTTCTGAACCACACATAGACCACAACGTCATTACAACTTCCAGGGCCTAGAAAGGTTGTAAAAACATCATTAAAATAGTCCATGTAACTCCAGTGGATCAACCTCAATGTTATGAAGTGATGAGAATACTTTTTGTTCTAACGTAGAACCTGGAAGCGCTGCACTGTGTTTATTACATTAACAGCGTCAGAGACTGACACAGAAGAGAAGAGATTGTTGAATAAAGTCGTTATTTTGGGGGTTTTTTGCGCCCAAAAGGTATTATCGTGGCTTCATAACATTAAGGTTGATCCACTGTAGTCACATGGTCTATTTTAACAATGTCTTAACTGCCTTTCTGGACCTTGAAAGTTGCAATGATTTTGCTGCCTATGTGTGGTTCAGAAACCTCTCGGATTTCATCAAAAATATCTTAATTTGTGTTCCGAAAATGAATGAAGGTCAGTAGTTAAT